AGTTAATTTTTTGTGGGTTCCATAGCAAAATACTTTTTCAAACCTGTGGGGGGGGGGGGCTTATGTTTAAAATCTTGTGAAGTTCAAAAACTTATTACCTAAATTTTTAGTGGATCAGAAATTATTGGATGCTTCTGAAATACAAAAAATGGCTGCACTAGTTTATCTAAGAGAAAATTATTTTATTGAAACTGATCATGTATGAGAAGGATCCAATATTGTGTTTTACACTGCAGAATATTTATAATACTAGATATAATTGGATTGGTTTGACAGGTAGCAAAGTTCCTTTAAAGAGCCTACAAATTCTCTATGTCAATAAAAATAAAATCTCCACATTCATAGTTTTGGAAGATATACACAATTATATAATCTGAGTGCTTTCTTTTTCTTTTTTTGCTTCCTACGGGGAAATGCTTAACAATGCTGTATCTTACTTTTGAAGGAGATCAATGGAAGATCTTTTCAGTATCTCATATTCTTCTGCTATTGTTTGCAATTTCCGATTATGCTGAAATAATTGTTCAATATCATTTTGTACCCGTTCAGATTCTGTCTGCTGTGCTTTCAGTAATGACTCGAGATCTTCATTTTTTCTTTCTGTATCCTTCAGAATTGAAGCAAGCGTCCTAGCCTTTTGGAATTAGTGCAAAAAGACAGTTCCACTGTGTGAATGAAATGTTAAGACACTGGACCAATAGACCACACTAATGCTAAATTAAAGACTTAAGGCTTTTAAATTCTAAGAACCCAGATAGCAAACTAACCTTTAAAGTATAATTTGCAGATATACAAATATCTAGGATCATAAAAGGATAGTGTTTTTATTCCAAGTAAATGTAATATATAATCTAAAGTTTATTTTCAAAGACAAAATAAGGGACGACACCTTTTGCACTGACACCCTTGCACATCCTTATGTGATAATTCTGCTTTACCCACCTCAGATTCAGCTTGAGCTCTCTGGCAACGATATTGGGCAATAAGTCTATCAGCTTGAGAAAGAGCTAATGCTTTTGCTTCCAAAAGGTCTTGCAACCTTGTTTCCTTGGACTAAAAAGAAAATTATCACAAAATGAACTGCACATTCAGAGCATGCATATGAAAAGGAAAAGTATATTTAATATATACTCACTGCCAATGCAGACAGTTTCTGTTCATAAACATCCATTATTTCAGATACCCTGATGTCTGTGACTGATTCCTTCATCTGTTGGAAATGTTCATAATATAAGCTAAAGCAATATGCAAACCTTAATTCAAAACTGTACCTACATGGACAAATAAAAAACTTGAAATGAGGAAAGACTACACAAGTTCTGTTTAACAAAGTGACATCATACATAAGCCAGTTGGTAAAGGTATTAATGTAATTATTCTGAAATATTGCAAAACAAAATTTTCTATGTCCCTATGTGTATCAAAACAGAGCAAATGAATGATATTCATTTATTTCACATATTAATGGATTCTAGAGTATACTGATTTCAAGGCACTGTAGTTATGAAGTTATATGTATTGTCTTACAAAATCAATTTATTTAATTTCCTTTATTTCATTCAGATATTTTAGTGGAGTTTGTCCAAATATTTCTGGATATTGTAGGTTCAAGTTCCACATTGAGCTACACTGTATTGCAATTTAAATATATCAGGACAAAAATGTTTTCATGTTTGTGTTAAGGCACTAACCTCCAAGCCAGAATGGAGTTTCTGAATCAGGTCCTGAATGTTGAAAGTTGAGGCATCACCATCATTGGGATGGCAAACAGTAGAGGATTTCACTGAATTAACACAAGTCATGGATGTTTGCAGGTGGCTTCTTTTAGAGACATGCTCTGCTTCCCGTTGTCTGTAAGAATTATTGGCCGCAATACTTTCACTAAGCCTAATAAAAAAAATCATACACAAGGGGCCATATCAACAGGAAGGTGTGAGTTTTATACAATAAGATCAAAATGTGAAGTAATGGCAGTATCTCAAGATAGATTTTCAATTTTTTAAAAAAAATTTTTAAAGCAACAATAGGAAACTTACACTATGGCAGGAAAATCTGGCAATGGTGCTGCTTCAAACAGTATTCTAAGTCCTGCTTGGACTTGTTCTCTGTGGTCTGATGTTAAAGCCAAAGTCAGAGGGGTAACCAAGCGCTGGTCCTAGAAACAGAGCACTTGTGAGTTACGCAAAACTTTTTTTCAAAAAAGCCAAGCAGTGGTATAAACAGGTTTGTGCACAGTAGAAGTGATAGATTTTCACTGCAAAGATTGTAATATATCAAAATGTTTTACTTATCACAGAATCTAATCCTCCTTTCAGCCTTTTTTCATATCCCCAGGAAATACTTAGGTTTTCAAAGGCTATGGAAGTTGTTTTGATAAGTCTGTTAAGCACTGTTAGAGACTGATCAAAATGACATGCATCATTTCTTTAGAGTGATTTATATAAACATTTAAAACATACCTGAAGAATTTTGTAAAAACTGACTTCCATGTTAGGAACTAGCTGCTTAAGCTTGCTCATCAGATCCAGTGTTTTTAAGATTAGATCAGCAGCAACTTTGCTAAAATATGTTAAAAGAGCATTTTATAGTTAGATAAACATTTAGAATTAAAATAATTCCTTTAGTATTACAAACTATGAAATCAGTGATTCATTTTTTTAAATGGACATAAAAATAAATTAACATTCTTCAATAATTCCTACATCTTATCCACAGGAAAGCAAAGTTTCAGTTAACAGATTCAGAAGACGGCACAGGTTATACAATTACTACAAGAATTTAATCAAGTTTTACTATTTCCTTAGTAAACTTAGGGACATCTGTCTGATGTCAGGACACCAATACTACCTCTTTTATTTGGACTCATCTTTCAGAAGGGAGGGAGGGAGGAAACTAATCTTGAACTGAACCTTCAATAGTCTTTTCATGTAATACACTTGAACGGGGTACATTTCTTTTTGTCCTCTGCACACTCTTCCCATGCTGAGTAGGAAAATCTGAAGCAAGCCTGAATGTAAATATGTTTATGCAACCTTTGATAGGGTTCCTGATTTTTTCCAAGTTCACCTACTCATGTTTAAATGAATATACACAGGAACCTCTATTTAGACTTTCTTTTGAATACTGATGTGGGACTGACACAAATGACTCCATGATTCCATATTTAGCCATATATCTAAATTCTGGAGAGTAACATTTTATGTTTATAAGACGAGTTTTTCAATCTTGCTCTGAAAAACTTTGTGTTTTTAACTTGTATGAAAAAAGAATGACAAAGTTAAAAAAAGTAATTGTTCACTTATTGCAACCACATGTCTATACTTGTTAAACTTCAGATAAAACAGAAGCACAGGTTATGAATTTCAGGAAAAGTTTGTTAGTTATCAGGGCTTGACAAAAACATAATGGGGATTTAGTTAGGTCCAAAAAATTGAATTTATCCTTTTAAAATACAAAGCCAGTTTGGAGAAAATAAAAAATAATAATAAACAAACCTAGGTTGTGCTTACCTCAATTCAGAGTCCATAACCTTTGTCCCCAAACTAAAGTTAATTCCACTAGATGTAAATTGGTGTTCTATTAAAGTAGTACACTTGCTAGCTGTTAGAATTTTAGTGACATGCATTTTCAGCATGTCATCTGCACAAAACGGTACATTCTGTTAAGGAGCCTGCTTTTTTAAATTTTCAGCTTATGATCAAATTCACTAGTGAATACTGTTTATAAGAATACAGGTAGTCCTCACCAACTGCCTTGTTTAGTGACTGTTCAAAATTATGACAGTTGGAAAAAACAGCTTTGCAACCAATCCTAGCATTTATGACCATCGCAGCAAACTGCAGTCATGTGACCGCCATCCACGTGCTTCTCAACCAGCTTCCAACAAGCAGAATTAATGAAGAATATGGAAGTGAAATTGCAAGTCGTAGTCACGTGATGTCTTGTTTAATGACTGTGGGGATTTGCTTAACAACAGAAGTGGATATGAGGTGGTAAGTCTGTCACAGTCATGTGATTTTCCACTCAGCAACTGTGGCGCTTAGTGATGGAGTTGCCGATCCCAATTATGGTCAGTAAGTGAGGACTACCTGTAAGTAAAACTCCCTAGTGATGCAAAGTGAAAGTCTAAGCAGGAAAATAAATCTAATTCAAAGTAACTTGTTAAAAACGTGGGATTCTCCAAGCAATGCCCATAATAACTGGCAAATGAAGAACGTTTGCTGTATTTTCCCACAGTTTAGAACATGCTGAATGGGTCATTTTTCCAAATAAGTCAAAGAATAATTTAAAATTTTAATATGGTCTAACTTGTCTTAATTTATGTTGAATTTTATAAATCCATAATAACAAATATTTTTCTGGATATATAAGGTATCTTGCAACAGAAAGCCAGCCATTGAAAGGAAAATAAGTAAACATCAGGAAATCAGTAGGACAGCTATTGTGCCAATTATTGTTATGTATCCATATATTTATTCTTCACATTTTTTTCACTATTGTAAGCACTAATCCAAATGCAAAAAATTATTTTCCTATATAAAACTCTAAGAAATCCTTTAAAAAGGTGTGTTCCAACTTCCTTATCTCAGTTTTAAAATTAACTAGATGAGTGATTCTATTTTGCCCTAAATCCTTTTTCTTTTTGCATTATTATTCAATAGAGAATTTGTTGTTAAATGCTATGTAATTCAAATTTATTTAGCTTATTTCAGATGTATGATTTCTTGGCAATCTTACATAACAAAAACCAACTTGCAACAAGGATATTTATCAAGATATCAATAGTTTTGATCATTCTTTCACATTTCTTCTTTGCCAATGGGTCTTCTAGTATGTGATCAGGAAAATGAAGGTGGTCGAGAAGAACAGGCAAAAGAAGATCCACAAAGCGTTCAGCAGTAGCACTGTTGCCTGCATCAATAACATCCTGTAACAGAAATATTATCAATTTAATGGCATCCAAATAATAATTATCCTATGTCACCAAACTCTATGGAGTTCAATTTATTATTATTTTTTAAAATGCATCCTTGATCATAAGATTTGATGTTAATTTGATTTGATTTTAATCTTACTCTAGTTTGTGGTTTTGAAAAGGTTAAAGTTTAGATATATTAGCTTAAATAGACTAATTTTTAACCAGTTTTACAAAAATGTCATTGTTAATTGTTGAACTGATTTCCATAGCTGCATTTAAAGTATTTTTCTCTGTTTAAATGTAACAATAATTAATGAGTTATTTTATTACAAGAACTCACAAAAATGTAGGTGGCAGACCCAGGCTTAGAAGAGGTAAGAAACACAAAATGTTTTTAGTATAAGTAAATTTGTAAGAACTTTAATTTTTCCCTAAGTATTTTCAAATTTCCATTATATCTATGTAAGTTTCTTATTATATCACAGGCCCTAACAATTACACACACAGGGTTAGAGGTGCCTTCACATACTCTTCCTCTTATGTGATATATGCCATCAAGTGCCAGTAATGCCCCTCTGGATTCTACACAGAACAAACGGGACAAACTTTGCACAAAGGAATTAATGGATATAGTTTTGACATCAGGACTCAAAATCAGGACAAAATAATAGCAGAGCGTTTCAATCTCCCAGGACATTCTGTTGCAGAGCTCAAAGTGACTTTCTTTAAAAAATGAAACTAAGAGAGATTGCGGAACTCAAATACATCAAAAGGTTTCAGGCAAACTTAAAAGGTCTTAATAAACCAACACATCACAATTTTACACATCACAATTGTTAATTGATAAGGTACTTGTTATCGTTATCATCGTTATCATCATCATCTAGATTTATTATAGCTGCTGGCCCACTCCAAAAGACTCTGGGAGGCTATAATCTGTAATCTATCTCACATGCACCTGTGCCTTCCTCACCCTTCCCTGACATCCTAATTTAAATTTGATATCACTCTAGCCATTCCATGCATCTGATAAAGTGAGGTGAAATTCACGAATGCTTATGCTTTTTAATAAAATGTATTAGTCAAAAAATATTACCAGATTCCTTCTGACTTTTTTTTTGCTACCATAAACATTCCTCCTATTAAAAAAACCTAGAAGTAACCAAATGCTACAGCTAAAGTGCATTGAATTCATTACCTCAAATATCTCCCTGAATAGCTCCAAAGCAAGATTTGAACACTTCTCTGATACTTCCAATGGCTGGTTTGACCAATGTACTAAGACAATAGATGAGTCAGAATTCTTAGCACGAGTTGCAAGTCTTGTACTTCCAGAGACTGCTACATTTGGTTCCAGTACTGTTTGACGTACAATATGACGGAGCTGTGTCACTGAACAGAATGCAAGTAGTAATTCTAATACCTAAGAGAAACACAAGAATTTGTATCTTCTATTTTAGAAGAACATTCTTTACACTAGTATTTAAAACAATTTCAGATTTCTAGTGCAAAGCTTCATTGATAGACCACAGTATTACTTTAAAACAAAAAAAGAAAAAACCTTCTCAGACTGTTCATTTTACCGTTTTAAGCAAAGTTACAGAGCTGAAAATGTGCATTTGCTATTTTTTAAAAAGAAATTTACCAAACAAGCTATCTATTCAAGAAGGTATAGTGTACTCAATAAAAAATTAACTTGTGACAAAACATACCATTAATCATTTTGGATTGCTTCTGACTATTCCAGGTGTAGTTAATATTTTGGGGCCTATCAACAAGATGTTGTGGGGGCAAATAAATTTGTGAAAGTGTGACAAATAACAGATTCTTATGGTGTTGTGGCCTGTAAGAAAAATTTGAGAGTATTCCTACTTTCTGCATGTTGGGGTTTGTTTTTTTTTAAATATCAGAGAGAAGTATAAAGCAATAGACATGAACAGTCAAGGAGGGACAGAACTATAGAACGGCAGTTATAGATCACAGGCACAGAAACTAAGAGGAAAGGAACACACAAAGGAACGCAGAGAGATATACTGACTCACACACGGTATGTGTGTGTGTGTGTGCCAGACACAAATAAACAGCTAAGCAGAAGGACGGAAAGCCTACACAAGGATACAAAGAAGAAGAATTACAAAGGGACAGAGAAAAAGAAACTACCCTTTTCTGTTCTTATTCAATGATTGGAATAATTCCTTTCCCTTATCATATAAGTGCCCTATTATTCAAAGAGTCATTGATGCTAAGACACTTCCAAAATTCCCCTCCAACCAATATTAAGCAGGTGGGGTTATCATTCCAATTCAAATTAATGGAGCAAATCAAACCATGCAATTAAGTAGGAAGAAACCGCTCTCCTCTCTCCTGTCAAAAAGATTGGCAAGATGTGTGATATTCCTCTTTTTGTCAAGAACCCCTATAGCAATATCCAATTCCAACCAATTTTTGGCAAAGAAATTATTCTGGTATCAGTGAAGTCCTTGGAATGATCTGTTCCAAGGTTTTGCATTTGGGCAGCCATGATTTAAGCTAGGTTGTAGTTTGTCTCAAGATCTGAGTTTTGTCTGCTTGCCAAATGTATAAACAGTGTCATGTAGACACGAGATTCTTGGAAATTAGAACACCTATGAGCAACCACATTTGCTTTCTAGTGCAAGATTTATAAGGGATAGATTTGTCAGGCTAAGGACATTTTTGTTTGTGCTGTCAGTTTCTGTGGACTGGAAGTGCTATTTGTGTTGTAAAGGAACTGATGCCTGAAGCTACTGAAGAAAAAAAAGGGAGGATTACCAGAGGAAGAAGAAATATGCAATGAAGGACCCCAGCTGGAGCAAGCAGAATTAGGAAGGAAGATCTGCAGAGTAACTGGTGATAGCACTGATGACAGAGAAAAGGAGCTAATTTGGAAGGACAGTCCAATGGAGTAGAGAAATGTGACCAAGGCACCATGAAGAAAGTTATCTAGAAAAGGATTTTACATAATAAAGTCCAACAATTAAATTTAGCAACTGTGTGGACAAAGGAAGGAGAACTGAAATAGTTAAGGGACTGAAAGGCAGTTATGTACATAAATGTATATCCAAATCTTGGAAAATCAATGATTTCAAGTTTTAAGAAATACAAAATATGATTTAAGAATGAGCTTAATTCATCAGAAAATATTGTTTGGTCTAAGAATGTTTTTAAAATTTTGGATGTTAATTTTGTGTGTGGGTGTGGGTGTATAAGAAATTTGAGACCTCTTTGATTTGGTTTTATCTACCCATAGTGGCTGTCTTTTGGTTTCAAGTTACAGCATGCTAACATAGCCCTGGGGGGAGAAATAGTAAAGATATACTATAGTTGAACTGTTTTTTTGGTGCCTTTGAGTCAGTGTTGACTCCTGGCAACTGCCTGAACAAGTCCCTGCAGTTTTCTTGGCAAGATTTTGGAAGTGGTTTGTCACTGCCTTCTTCTCGGGCTGAGAGAGAGTGATTAGTCCAAGGTCAGCCAGCTGGCTTTGTGCCTAAGGCAGGACTAGAACTCATAGCTTCCCGGTTTCTAGCCTGATGCCTTAACCACTACACTAAACTGGCTCTCTCGTAGTTGAACTATACTCTAAAATATGAAATTTGTAACTTTAAGGAAAGATTTAGCGTTATCAAGCTTTGTCAGAACTCAGCAAAGAGAATAAATTTATATAAATAGAAATAAACTTGTTTTTCTGATGTTAAGGAATGGCTTCAAGATATATATTTGTTATTTTGAAATCCTTTTATATTCTAAAAATGAGAAGATGGAGCAATATGTTTCTATATGGCCTAGATTTAATGATAAAGATTGAATTAGTCTTGAATTGATATTACATGGCTCTTACTTTCTTCTGTTTATATGAGTTTCTTTTTCTTCTTTTAGGTTAAGTTTACTTTAATCATTTGAACTATGTAGATTTTGTGGATTTTATGTAGATTCACTGGTGTACCTTTTACTATTGTGGCTTGTTATATTTCACCAATAGCATAAAAGTCTAAAAAATTACAAAATATATATCATTATATTGTTGTGCACCTATAAAGTACCTTTGCTGAAGAATCAGGGTCTCTTCCATGAAGGAGGCCTACCACCTGATTGAGGCAAGATGTGAAATGTTCATACCTATAGTTTTGAAGGAAAAATGGAATACTGAAATTATAAATATTTTGATAGGCAATAATCAAAATTATTTGTTAAGGAATTTACCAAACACACTTTTCTAGCTGAAACACTGTAAAGGTAGTCCTTGGTTAATGAAAACTCATTCAGCAACCATTCAAAGTTGTGATGGCTCTGAACGAGTGGTATTTACGGCTGGTCCTTGACGTTCTGGCCATGGCACCACCCCCACAGTCACATGTTCACAATCCAGACGCTTGGCAACCAGTTCACACAACACTTGCAGCATCCCAGTGTCACATAATTGCTATTTGTGACCTTCTCTGCCAGCTTCCCACAAGCAAAGTTAATGGGGAAGCCAGCAGGCAAGGTTGCAAATCACTCCCCTGCCCCAGTTCACACACACTGGTGTGGCAGCAACACTCCAGTCCACACGCACTGGTGCAGCAGTACCCCCTCCACAGCCCACACGCAATTGTGCAGTGCAGCAGCAACCCCCCCCAATCCACACACTGGCACAGCAGCAATCCCTCCCCAGTCCACAGGCACTTGTGCGACACTGTAGCAACCCCTCCACAGCCCGCACACATTCATGAGTCACAACAACCCTGCCCAGCCTGCACGCACTTGCCACAGCATCCCCGCCTCATTCCAAAGTCACCCACCCTCCAGCCTACTTTCAATCCACCTGGGACTTACAACTTCCAGCCAATAGGGTTTGCTCGTAGGAAGCCAGCAGGAAGTCACGAGTTGCAGTCATGTGAGGTCTTCGCTTAACGATCCCCAATTTTCACTTAATGATGGCAACGGGGACTGCCAGGATTGCTATCACTAAGCGATGCAGTCATGTGATGCCGCACTTTACAACTGCATTGCTTAGAGATGGAAATTCCAGTCTCAATTACCATCATTAAGCAAGGACTACCTGTTGTTTTAATTAATAATTTTCAAAGTTTCTCAACCAAGATGATCTGATCTTAAGGCTCAAAGTGTGATCTTAAGGCTCAAAATATTTGGGTGATCATATTGTACTTATTGACCAAAAATATTTTTTTTTGCATCTCCACCAGTCTTTTTCCCAACTTCATATATGCTTTTTAACCAAGACATCTTTAAATATTTGTTTGCACAAGAAAAGGTATTGTCATGAGCCAGTATATTAAAATAACTTCAGGCTATGGTCTAGTACCAGCATTTTTCCAAATGGACTCCATTTTATAACTTGGACACAAAGGAGAACTGGAATTAGAGCTTTTCTATATTTATTGCAGACTATCCTGAGAGCCTATATAGGTAAAAGACTTGTTCATAAACTGGCTGATTAAGTGAGAATAGCAAAGCTATAACATAGCAGCTGTCAGCAACTGTAAATTAGCTGTGAAAACAGAATGAAATCTATTGATACTGCAAGTAGAACTTACTAACTTTTGATGTCTGGTGCAGTTCCAGAGGCTAAGAGATAATTATTTAATATTAATTAGCAAAGTTCCAATTAAAAGAGGGAATCTAATGAACATTTTATTTCCAGCAATTTACCCTATTCTTTAGCCAAAAAGGCACCCAGTAAACATATTTCAAAGATCAGTAATAGTAATAAAATAGCTAAATCCTTCTGGAGACCCATAATTTAATACAATACAGGGAAAAATGTATTGAGGAATAAAAGCAAGTGGACTTAGGTACCAGTTTTCGAAAAAGAAAAAGACTAACTTATACAGAATGCAAAATATTTTTAAACTATGTACTTTGCATGGAATCATTTAAGGGGGAAGATCCAAATGCAAATAATTTCTCAGGAGAATCCATAGAGTTTCCCATTTCCTGCTACTTTACATTAAATAGCCCCTTTAAGAAGACCATTTTAAAATCATTCAGTTGCTTTTACATACAGCTGGAGACTTATTCTGACAGTTCCAGAATTCTCAGAATAGCAGAATTAAACTGCCTGTATGCTACACCCTTGTGCCAAAACCAAGTTTGTTCAATCTGGTAAATGAAAACCAATGCTGTACATTAATCTGTTAATGGAGTAGAATAAAAAATATTTGACATACTTATCGGCAAGATAAAAAGTCTGAAGGGATGATGAAATGTCTCCCTTCAGTTGCTGCTGTTATAGCTGTTTATTTAATAAAAGCAAGGGACCCCACACCTAAAACAGTGCCCTTCACAATACATACAATTACTGTTTAATTAAAATTTTAGAGGAGACTAGCTGTATCTAACCTAATTATTGCCAAGTCCTATCACCTTACATTAAATGGAAATTAAAGCTATAGGAAAGTATTATAGAATTCAGTACATATCTTAAGCTTAGAAGATACAAAGACAAGAATCAAAGAAAAGATTGGAAAAATATGGCAAATGAAATCCTTCAATATGCAGAGACTAGGACAAATGTTCACAGAAAATATAAAATGTATTTATATATAAACAAAGGAATGTAAAGGATCTTTAAAATAATATTTATAGATAGGTTATTATGTAAAGCCTACTTGGTAAGATAATCTGCAATCTTGGGATTCTTCATGAGATCCATAAGTAGATCCACAGAATATTTTCTTGTTAGTGTTCCATCGCCATTCACAAGAATATTAAATATTAACTGGAAAGTCTGGTGAATATTTCTGGAATGAAACAGCTAAACAAACAAGCCTGATTTACAATCATATGAATGTTACATTATATATCAAGTCAGCTGCATTTGAGGGAAGGGACAGCCTGTCAAACAGGCAAGATAGTGGTCGTGGCAGTGAGATCAAACCCCTGCCCCTTTTGTAGACGCATCAACTTCACTCCTAAACATGTACAAAGGAACCTTGTTTGCACTGCCACAACCATCATCCTGCCTCTTTTGAACCCCTTCTGCAGACACCACTATCTGAGTAATGTCAGAGCAAACCTATATATATGGAATATATTAGTGATTTAGTTGAACTATATAGAAAATGCATAATAGAACAAGCCCAGCCAATTGCTTTGTATAGAATGCTGGAATAATTATTCATCCTGCCAAAAATATTTTAAATTTACAAGATTTGTAAGTTATCTCTTCAACAGATAATTGTCTGTGAGGCTCCCTTTGTGAGACTGAGAGATGACTTCATAGTCCTGCTGTTATACTAGCCTCTATGCTTCACAGCCACATCTATGTCCAAGCTGCTAGACATTATCATAAGAGTGTGGTTGGGATTGCCCTAGACTTTTGGTCTTGGGAACTTCAACTTGCCTTACTTGGAAGGAGTCCGTGGGCACCAAGACCACCATGGGATTGTCCCAGAAAATCACAGGCCCAACTTAGGAGGCCAAACACTAGACCTGTTTTTTGTCTTAGAACTGTTCTGAGGGTGGGGTCATTTGCATCTATACTTTGTGACAGTCAAATCACTCTCTGGTCGCCTTAGAATGTTCAATACCAAGACTCTCTTCAGGGAAGAAGGACCTATTCAATCAGTCTACCCAGGTCACGCAACCGATATCCAGGATTTCCAAAGGGTACTTAAGGAATTTTCCAAAGGTCTGCCAGGAAATGCTGTGAATTATCTGATCAACAGCAGCACTTGACAGAATTACTGTTAGGGAATATTTTTCTTAGACTGTAATTTGTTTAAAATCTTGTTTCTTGATGTAAACTGCTCAAAGCCATTGGGAATTGAGTGGTGTAGAAACTATAGCAAGTTCATAAATAAATAAATAAATAAATGAATAAATAAATAAATCTTTTAAATTGAGTCAGCCTTACCTTTTCTCCAACTTCTTCATTTAATGTAAGACTTGATAATATCGAAAGCGCAAAAACAACTATAGTTAGACTACTATGGGCCAAGAAACTGATCAGAGTGCGATAAAAACTTTTCACATTAATCTAGTACAAAGAGAAAAAAAATCTTAACAAATGCAATGAGATTAAATTTGTAGCCTAACTCAATATATTATATGCAGTACAATTTAATTAGAAGATTAATTTTCTTGTTAGTTGAAAAACTGAATTTCGGGATGCAATATATTCCATTAAAGTCATACAAATGAAATATCTAGTCAAAGATATTAACAATGCAACCACTTGTA